CTCGTTCTGACTGGAGTTTGTTTATTGGTTCTTAATGAAAAGCGATTAATCTAAATCACAATTGGGGTGGATCCTTTGCCGGGGCCCCATAATGAGAAATGGCAGTTTCAGGCCTTTGACAAATGAGCTACTATTTCCCCGACCAAAAAGGTTTTTTTCTCTCCCCCCTCTAGTGGAAAAAAGATAAACAATGATAAAATCAACCCTCAAACCACCCACCTGTGTTCTCCTTCCTATCTCCCCCTCTATCCCTGAAAGCAAACTAAAATGAAACCAGTGCTAGCTTGTAAAAAAACATGGCGTGGCTACTACTAGCTACCATTATTCAGCCTCCAGGTCCTTCCAAGATTTTCTGCTCGAGTCCCCTTGCATGGCAGCATGGGCTGTGGCAAAAAGATCCTAAGGCGATGCCTGGGTGTGACCCCTGCTCTTTTGGATAGGAGGGATGAACTCATTTTTTGCAGAAGCAGTAGCAGCCAGAGGTGTAAGACCAGCTGTTGGCAGTTCCTCTTGCAGCTTCCTTTTCCCCTGCTTTCCTTCAAAAGTTACTCCTTAGTGTTCCCAGCATTGTTGCCTTATTTATTTGATTTAGCAGCACCTGTAGGAAGTGGTGGTTTGTGCACCACCTGGTATAAGCATGTCTCCTCTCATCTCCCACCTCTTACAGTAAGATCTGACTGTAATGGCCATAGACCCAAGGAGCTCTGGATAGGCCAGGGGTGCTGGGCAGCCCTTGAGGAGGAGAGTTGGTTGGAGGATCTATTTTGTAGTTCCCATCTTGTAGGAAGAAGGGAGTCTTTTGATGGACCATGAGCATATAGAGCATGGGGATTTGGGATCCTGTCCAAATGCTATTGAAGTCACCTAGAGCATTTTTATCATTTTCATTGGGAATGGGGTTGGTGCATGTGGGGTGCATGTGTAGTGCATATGATCTTGTCTTCCTCTAGTTAATCGGACCCAGCGAAGATGCTGTTTTGAAGCTTTAGACCCTGCTAATGACCATAGACCCACCATCACTTATTGTAGGCATGGTTTACAACTTAGTACTGAGCCACTATGCTCTCCTGAAGTCTTCCTTGTAAAATGGCTTCATTGACATTGAGCTGTATTGACATTTGTAACTGTCTTGCTCTTATCTGGGCCCAAACGAGAGCTGGAATGATTTTCCCCTGCAGTTGAGTGGGAAGTGTTTAGTTTAATTGTTTTCCAAATGGGCAAACCTAGGTACTGTGGGTGCCCAGAAGAGTCAGAGCTAGAGTAATGTACGGCACAGATCAGGTAGGATTCTTTGTAGGGGTGCCAACGTTCATGGAAAAGATGGATGAATACACAGGCCATGAGTAAGTCTTCAATGGGATCCCAGAGTTCACTGATACATAGAAATAGCTGGGAAACTGAAGGAACCAAACTTGTACATGAGCCGTGGCTGGTCTCTTTTGGGTGCCTAGGCTTCTTTTCCTTGCTCTTTGCAACTTGTGTTTCCTATGTGAAACCCACTGATAGCAATGGTAAGATTGGTGCTGACCTCTCTGGCTCTTGAGATATCTGCTGGGGAAAGCTGCCCATGTGACTGCATCCAGCCTATGCACGGTTGTGTAATGTTTTCTAGCAGTTGCTATTTTGTTCTCGTATCGTTAAAATAATACCAGTGTAGATGCAATTGTGGTTATTGTATGTACAAATTAGATGTGCGGTTGCACCTACATTTCAGGTCTCATTCTGCAGTGCTTAGTCTCATAAATGGCTCCATTGGCATCCACCACTATAAATAAGGACATGGTGGTGGATTCTGTTGCCTGTCTACCCTATTTAAAAGTCAGGCCCATCACGTCTGGCTGCCCTGAGCTCTCTGTCTGGCTCTAGCAGTGAACATTAAATATATGGCATCAGTAGCTTGCTAACCTTTAGTGGCATCATTGTGGAAAATCTTTTTATTTCCAAGCCCATGTAAAGTCTACATGGAATATTTTTCAATCTGACGCTTGCTTACCATTCTGCATATGCTAGCAAATTCTACTAGCACATGCCAGAGATCTCTTTCTTGCATAGGCAATAGACTTTGAATGCAAATACATGTATCTGGGAGCAAAAAGAACAAAAAAAGCCTACAGTTATATATGCTATTAAAATGAGAGACTAAGGTGGGAGCTTTTGTGTGGTGCAAAGCAGGGCATAGGGTTTAATTTAATTAGGAAAAAAATCAATATTTCAGGGTGTGATCTGCTCCTGAGCATTATGCCCTATTTATTTCTGTCTTCTGCTAGGCATCTTCTTGTGCTGGCCAGCTGAGGACAGTAGTTGAAATGCTGAGCGCTGAAAGCACCGTTACTTCCTGCTTCATTAGGACAGGGTTGATTTTTGGGGGTGTACAAGTGGAATCATCTTCTGTGGCTATTAAGAGAAAGAGAGAGAGAGAGTACTGTGTGAACTCCTGAGCTTGATGAGGGAATCTGTGAACATCACTCTTCCGCCTTCATCTTGGACAGTGACATATGAGAGATGTAGTTAGCCGTGTTAGTCTCAAGTCAAGTAGGAGGCGTGGTAAATTTGCACTTTATAGAGCACCCAAAATGTGTGTGTGTCATGAAAGCTTGTACAAATGTATAGCACAAGCTGCAAATATACAGCACAAGCTTTCATGAGCTGAAGCTCATTCATCAGATGCTGTGAAAGGATGTGCACAGTACAGTACTGTATCTAAGGAGGACATGTGCTTTGGCCATTTAAAATGGATATTTTCCAATAATAATAATAATAATATCTCTTTAAGCAAACAAAAACATTACTCCTCCCTCTGAGCCTCTCCTTGGTAAATAAAATTGATTAAAACTAACAGATCTATCTATCTATCTATCTATCTATTTTAATAATGGATCCTGACTGCTGTCTTTTTGCATCTGTTTCGGGTCGGTGCAATGCAAATAGACTAATTCGTTTAACTTCAGTACTATAGTAAACACCATCTAATGATTTCAGTGGGTCTTCTCAGGTGCTCAAAATTAAATGTTTGTATACATATTTTGCTGGATCGGGGACTAATCCACCAAGGGTCTTTCTATCCTTTTGGCTGAACAAGTTTATTTAAATGGTAGATGATTATATGAATTGATGCCCACGACTGCCTTGTAGTTGTTTACCTCTCTAAGACTTTTTGGGTCAAAGTATATCAGAGATGTTTCACAATACAAAATTACATTGAACCTCAGTTCTCCAGAGAAAACGTGGCTGTTGGATTTATTTTCCTTTGGAAAAGGCAGTGTCTTTCATTTGAATCAGCTACTGTATCACTACCCTGCTGTGTTTAGAATAAGCATATCTCTAGTTTAGCTCCCACGATTTGCCTATATTTTATTGTATTGACATTTGCTTTAATATGATTTCTTTTTCGCAAGATGTTAATAAGATGGTGAGTTGTGTTAAGGTTTCCCTAATATTATTCCTGGTTAATTTTACATAGAACTCTATAACCAATATTATAAAATAAACCTATTTTCTGGTACTGGTATTATTTTCTAATTAAAATCAGGAGCATGAACGCATCTCCATATCTGAGCAAACCAAACTGTTTCATTTTCTTCAACAGGCAAAAATGTTTTCATTAAGTGCTACATGAACAATCCCTGGGACTCAGGTGGTGATTTGAGGCACACATACTCGTGCATGTACACAGAGAAGTGCATGTACACACACAGGTGTGCTTGTATACCCCACCCCCCAATTTTAAAGTCCGCACCCAAGTAGCCAAGTTTGCAAGCCTCCACTTTCCAATGATTCTCTCTCAACATCTTGCAAGGTAGCATGATATTGGACCTTAACCCTGGATACAGCCCATTCATATCTCGAGAGTAGGTGTGTTAGGAGGCAAGTGGTCCTTCTTAGACATTACTCTACTACCAGGTTGGAAACAAACAGAAAAAAAAAACCTCTTGGCTTTTTGAGGCTATTTGGGGTTGTGTAAATAGTCCTACAGACATGGGTTACTGGGCCTGGCGGAGAGGAAATGATCAAAGGTCCATGCTTCTCCACACAATCATGTTATGAAATATATGCCTCTGGCTCAGTGATTTATTTTACAATATTATTTTCAATTTTGTACAAGGTAGGTGCATGTGTGTGTATGAATTATGCCATGGTGTAATAGTTTTATCAACATGAATTCAGAATGATCACACTACTAAGTAGTGAAATCATAGGAAAAGTATACAGCTCATGCCCAATGGGTACCAGTAGGTGCGTCTACACGTGTACATTTACTGCACAGTAGCTAAAATTACTGTGAAGTATGGGTGCATGTGTATGCCTGTACTGTGCAGTAAATTCTCGCAACTTATGCCAACTTGAGTGTAAAATTGATACCTGCATCATGCAGGTATCAAATTTATGTCTGATTAGTTATCACACAGTAACACACATGTAGACACCTTAGTGTGCAGTAACATTGTGTGTGTGGACTGACTTGGGACAAACTTTAGTCCCAAGTCAGGCCACACACAGTGCTAATGTACTTTAAAACCTGCACGTCTAGACACCAGCCTATTCTTGCTTACTGAGCAAGTAACTTACTGCGCAATAAATTTAAGCCAGTGTAAATGCATGTGTAGACATGCCCAGTGAATCTTTTATAGCACGTTGCATGGCTAGCTGTCATCCATAAACACTAGAAACTAGAGCTGATCAACATTTTTTGTCAGTAATATGCTTTTTCCAACCCAGAATGGCTTTTAGATCAAAACCAAAAGAGTCATGTTCATTAAAAATTGCCGGGTTTTTTTTTTTGACAAAAACAAATACAAACATTTGGGGAATCTCCATTAAATGCTGAAAGCATAAGGCCTTGGATAAATTGTTGAGTAAGTCTGCTTCCATCTCAGCATAGAGCAATGCTTTCTATATTCACTAGCCAGTTCATTCTCGTATTAATATTTTAAATTGCATATATTTTCACTTTTCCCTGAACTCTGTCCCGTTTCTCTTTCTCTCTCAATGTTCCCATTTAGATAATGCTCCTGAGTGACCCAGAGATTGAGAGCAGCATATTGATCAGCTCTGATGAAGGGGCCACCTACCAGAAGTACAGGTTGAATTTCTACATCCAGAGCCTGCTCTTCCATCCCAAGCAGGAGGACTGGGTCCTGGCCTACAGTCTCGATCAAAAGGTAACCAACTCATTTCAAGCGTCTGTTTGCCTGAGTCTGATGCAAGGGACACTGCCAAGACAGAAAAGACATACTGTGTATATATGGAATGTAAAGGTCCATTGAACCTTTGAGCTCCATTGAACTCAGCAGATATGCTGCCTAGGTTTATTCTGAATCAGATTTCGTTTGGTGCCATGAGTTGGTTTTTGCTGCTGTAGCCTTGCAGAGCTTTATACACAGGCAAAAGTTGGTTTCTTTTTCAAGCAGTTGCTTTCCCAGTAGAATTGTCTGTTTGGCTCCATCCTCATGTGTAGCAATGAGGAGGCCCCATGGGGGTTGGAGCTTCACCCTTCAAAAGTGGTGTGCCAAAAGGTGAGAATCCAGAGGACAGCAACAAAAACGAGAGGTCTAGAAAAAAACGACTTGTGTGGTCAGACAGAAAGAGTTGGGTTTTTTTAGTTTAGAAAAGATTGAGGGGAGACAGGATAAGCAGTCTTCAGATGTGTCAAAAGCGACTGCAGAGAAGAAGGTTATAAACTATTCTCCATGGGCACTTATAGATGTGCTCCAAGAGCTGCGTTAATTAAAGTGCTGGAACATCACGTGTATCAGGGTCCCTGCGCTGGCAAATGGTGGTGGGGGCACTTTAACTAAAGCGCATCGAACAAGCTTTAGTTAGAGTGCCCCTGCTGCTATTTTTCAGTGCCAGGGCAGTGATACACGTGATGCTGGAGTCTGCTGGAGCATGGTAATTACCAGATTCCAGCGGACTCAATTAATTGCTGTAATTGCAGAGCATTGGAGTAGCCTACTGGCACATGCATAGGAACCCCATGTCTGTTGCTAACCAGGCAAAAAATAACAGGCTTAAACTGCAGCCAGGGGAAGTTAGGTTAGATACTGGGATACAAATGTTTCCTCACTGGAGTAGATTCCCGGTGAGGTTTTGGACTTTCTAGTGTTAGAGGGTTTTAAGAACAGGTTAGATAAATATCTATCAGGCCTAAATACAGTTGATCCTGCCTTGGAGGACTAGATGACCTCCCAAAGTCCCTTCCAGCCTTGTTTTCTGTGATTTTTAGAAGCCCATTGGGGGACAGATGTCACTGGGGCCATCATTTTGTCTATGGTAATTTAGGAATGGCAATGACAAGAGGGGCGAAAGGGACACTGGGGCCTGATTTGACGTGAGGTGCTGAACTCACCTGAAAATCGAGTAGGTGTCGGAACGGATGCTGAGCTCTCCTGGGAGCCTGTCGCTGTAAGCCTGTGCTCAGTCTGCAGACGCTGGTTGTCATGGGGTAGGGCAGACAGCCTTTCTGCTCAAAAACACGGCACCTTTCCTGAAGTCGTAACAGGCAGGGAATTTTTTGCAGTCCCTGCTCAGTCGTACTTTGGGGAGAAGAGCAGGGGATTTTGAAAGCTTTTGTAGCCTAACCAAGCAGTGTGAAAAATGAAAGCATTTTAAAGACCCAGGTTTAGTTGGGTTGTTTTTGCAGTTCAAGGAGCTGTTTCGAGCTTTGCTAAGCTGGTCAGTTTTCCTTCTTGGGCTCTTGCGTTTTTGGAATAATACTGCTTAAATCCAGGGTCGACAGCCTTCCTTTCTTAAATATTTGTGCATCACTTCTTTCTAGTCCCTTCCTTTCACTCCACTTTCCCTAGCAGTTACTTAGGACACACTTGAATAAGTTACATAATCTGCCACAGCAGCACCTTCAAACAATAACTCAGATATAACCTTTCCATCCCCTTGTTAACAGAATGCGATGGCAGGCACCAGGTGTTATGCCGTAACTCCTCAGATGATGCCTGAGTGACATTTGCAGGCACAAAGCCATTGTAAATAGACCTCTTTCACAGTATTAAGTGGTTATTGTATGAAAGACTTAGTCAAATGTCAAATAGTTTGTGAGCTCAGATGTTCAGCTGAACAGAAAATTTTGAAGTTGGAGTGAAAGACCCAATAGATTCATTTGATGTTGCTGAATGGTTTGATGCTGCTTTTCAACCAGAAGTAAGGATTTTAAATGGCATTTGTGTTTGTACAAAGACAGCTCGGTAAGAAAGAGATGGCTGATGAGGTAAGCAGGTGGGGATACGTTGAATGTGATGTGTCGAGCGTGTGTCTTCAACGAAGCACTGCTGTAATAGTAAGGAAGCATCTGGTGTTTTGGTTGAGATGAGGAGGCGACTGTGCATTGCTTTAAGGCACATGTATGCCTTGCAAATATGTTAAAGGGACCTCAAAATAGGTTAGAAAGCCTTTAGAGCAGGGGCAGGCAATTATTTTGGGCGGAGGGCCGCTTACCCAGTTTTGGCAGTCTGAGGGCGGTATGGGTAGCCCCACCCCTTGACAGGTGCCCCGCTCCCTGGTTACCATCTTGGGACCAATGTCCCAATGTCTTGGGGCCAGTGTCCCAGGGCCAGCACTGGTGGGGTCCAAAGCAGGGTGTGGGCTGGCAGGGGTCTGTGAAGCTGGGCTGGGCTGCACCAGCAGGGAGAGGGGGGAGCTGGCCCAACTCCATAGAGCCCCTGGCAGCTGGGACCCCGTGCTCCTGCCACCCTGCTCTGGGCCCTGCCGGCACTGGCCCCGGGACACTGGTGCGGGCCCTGTGCTCCCGCTAGCTCCCAAGCCAACTCGCACCCAGTGCCCCCCAGCCCTGTGGTACAGACAGGGGGCAGCGCACAGCCCTGACCCCTTGCTTGCTGGCAGGGAAGAAGCTGGTGCTGAGCATGGGGGAAAAGTGGCCCCCCACCCGCCCCATGGCTGGCGCTCCCTACTGCAGGTGCTTGCAGCCAGTGCGGGGCTGTCTGGAGCAGGCACAGGCAGCCCATGCAGGCTGCAAGTGGCTACAGTGCAGGGCACTGGCCACAGGGTGAGCGAGGGACCACTTTTCCCTGTGCTCAGCACCAGCTTGTAACCTGCCCCTGCTGCCAGCCTGGGCCCTGTGCCGGCTCCAGGCTCACCTGTCGGCGGCAGCAGCTGCAGCCCCCCTCCTTGCTGCACTGGGCAGTGTTGGCTGCTGCTGCCCACCTGGAGCGTGTGCTGGGCAGCCCAGAGGCGACAGTGGCAAATGGCACGGCAAGCAGGGGGGCCACAGTTGCTGTCACCATGTGCAGCCCTGACAGGCGAGCCCAGAGCTGGCGCGAGACCCAGGCTGGCAGTGGGGCCGGGTTACAAGGTGGTGCTGAGCATGGGGGGGAAAAGCAGCCCCTCCCTGCCCCATGCCTGGTGCCCCATGCTGCAGCCGCTCGCAACTCGCCTGGGGCTGCCTGTGCCTGCTCTGGACAGCCCCGCGTGGACTGCGAGCGGCTGCAGCAGGGAGTGCCGGCCATGGGGCAGGCGAGAGGCCACTTTTCTCTGTGTTGGGAAGGAGCAGGAAAGGAGCCCAGGGAAAAGCTGAGCACAGGGGCGGAAATTGGCCCCTTGCCCACCCCATGGCCTACGTTCCCTGCTGCAGCTGCTCGCAGCCTGCGTGGGGCTGCCCGGAGCAGGCACAGGCAGCCTCATGCAGGCTGCAAAC